ATAAATTTTTTTTAAAAATTACAAATTTTTAGCTTCTAAGTAACATTACATTTTTTATTATATAATTAAAGATAAAAGTTATTATAATATATTACATATTTATATAATTAATTTAAAAAAAAAATTTTTAAAACTATTAATTATTTATAAAAGTAAATCAGAAGAGAATTTACAGTAAATAAGCAGGCAAATTTGCCTGCGAAACCCTACAATCTAAGAGATAATAAATTATTTAATAGAATTTGTTTAACGAATCTGTAACGAATCGTTTAACAGAATTTGTTTAACGAAAACTGTAACAAATCATTTAAACGAATCTGTATTACAGATTCACTAATGAATCATTTAAACAGAATTCATTTAACGAAATCCGTAACGAATCATATAACAGATTTATTAACGAAAACTGAAATAAATCATTTAAATAGAATTCATTTAACAAAAACTGTAATGAATTATTAAATGGAATTCGTTTAACGAAAATTGTAATGAATCGTTATACGCAGAGTTGGGAATTTTATATGTACTAGATAAAATTAACATTGTACTTGTACTGTACTTGTACTAATTTTTATATTAATTATTATGGTATACTAATTGTACTAACTGTACTAATCATTGTACTAATATTGTACTTTCTAATACTGGTTATACAGATTCGTTAACGAAAACCTGAAATGAATTATTAGCCAGATTCGTTTAACGAAATCTGTAATGAATCATATTATAGATTCGTTAACAAATTGTTATAATAAATTTTGTGATAAATCGTCATAGTGAACTATTGTTAACGTGACTTGTTAGTGAATTGTTACCAATCAGTAAATTCTAATTGAATAATAATCATTAATCAGGTATTAAACCGATTGATAACTAATTATTAATTGAACTTGATTTGTTACTATTTAACATATAGTTATAAATTTTTTAAAATAAGTATAAAATCAGGTTGGAAATCAATTTATGTAATTCTACCTAATAATTATAATTATGCTATTAACTGATTCATACCCGATTATAGTATTTACTGAATTTATCTATTGATTGCTGATCAAAAAATAATGAACAATCGGGAAGATACCTGATTTATCAGCGTTTGATCTGTGTATATTTTGAGTGAAGGGATTGCAAAGCAATCAGGTGATGCAGAAGCAGTATTTTTACTAGTAACTGCTTCTATTATTATGATCTTCTTAATGTTACTGATATTAATATATATCATACTTATCTTATTATTTCTCGCAATTATATGGCTCGTGATTAAAAAAAATATATGGAATTTATAAAGCGATAAGCTAAAAGAAAAAAGTAATGCCCCTTCTAACTATAACTATTTTTTATCATTTTAAATATTTTTGAGGTTAGGCTATATGATCGGAGGCTGAAAGATCGAATATAGGAATTAAAGTTAGCTGATATTATTGTATGAGAAAAAAATATAAATAATATTATACGAAGTGTCTTACGACTAAGTTTCTTAGCTGAAATTGTCACATTCTGCTAAGAGTTCTTAACTATATAATTCAATGATCTCATCTATATCTGCTTCGGATGAATGATCTTTTGATAATATTCGATAGCATGTAATTTTTAGACCAACCATTTTATATCATGTGTTTCAGAAATCTGCTAGTAGCTTACACTTATTCAAATAATATAATGTTAAATATTATTCTAAGGATATTGCTCGCTTCTTAGTAACTAATTTATACATACTGTCTCTATAATCTATATCAATCTCAGAAATTATTTAAGCAATAATGAAAGTTTTAAGCAGATGGATTCTTCTTGCTTATCTAATGCATTGAAGAATGATTGGTAATAAGCATTGCTAACCAAGTGCTCTCCTACCTTATCAGCATAAGTAGTATCAAATAAAGTTTTTGTGTAAATGCATGCCTCTTCCATAAATGAGATATGATAGTTTTATCTTTTATTGAACCTCTATGAAGGTTTTTATATAGCCTCTAACTACTTTTCAGCTGATTTTTGTGCTAAGGCATCTCTTATTTTTGATACCTCATCTTTATCAATTTCATCTTCATCCTTTTTGTCTTTGTCCAGGTCATCTTCATCCATATCACCATTATCCGCTTTATTGTCACCTGCTTTATTACTAAAGATGAGCATCATAATTAAGAAGTTGCAACTCGGTAAATTGCAACTTGAGTTGCAACTTGGTTGCAACTTCTTGTAAATTTATTTTAATATAAAAATTCATAAATAGTTGCAACTCAAAGTATTGCAACTTAAGTTGCAACTAGTTAAAAATTTTAAAAATAATTATGGGAACCATCTTTATTTATTACCATTTTTAAACTTTTTTAAGGTTTCCAGCACAATTTCATATGATGGTTGGAAACTTTTATCATAGTTAATAAATTGTGCACAGAGGCTGACAATATTTTCAGATAATAGCTGATATTGATTTTTTTTCCTAATCACCTCACTACCTCTGAATACTCCATTTTATCCCCTACCTTCTGTAATGAATTATTCTCAACTACAATGTTCACCTAATTCTAGGATTTCATAAAAATAAGGCTTGGGTGTTAAGCCCTTTTTTATATGCTGTTTGGCATCTACTTCTTCATGGGTATGTCTATCTCGCATTCGTAAAATAAATTGCTAGATACTCTTATTATTTTTATCAGATTTCCACATAGCAGTTTTAACCACTCCATTAAGGTCTATCTGTGAAATAACATTTATGGTCTCTTTGAGCACGTCCTCTACAATTTAATATAAGATACGCGAATTATCTACCTTTATAGATTCATTTATAACCTTCTTACCCACCTCACAAAAGTGTTTAAACTGCCCTCACTTTACAATCTCAACCCTTCAAATGAAAAACTTATTATTAAAGTTAGGTACTTTTTTATGTGAAATGCTGTAGTATTTTTTCTTTTCAGTAAATACTACTGAAAATAAGACTTCCTCATACATCATTTTGAGATAAGATGATTCATTATTATTTCTGAAAAAGTCATTAACTTTATCACGAAATCTTTCTATTACTTCCATAGAGATGTTTACCATTCTAGACCAATATTTTTCTTTTGAGATCCCATTATCATTGTCATATATCTTATCACATTTCTGAAAGCATTCTTCTAGACAGACAAAGTATAAGAAATCTGTATTCTCATATTTTACACTGAACCTTTTACTTCTGACAAGGTTGGCAATAAGCTTGATATTCTGCTGACCAGCTAATATTATCCCGCTTGCTAATACTCACAAGAAGAAAAGGATTTACTATTCTCAGCTTCATCGTAAAATGTATTTATATACACTTTTAAAGTGAGGTGTTTTACATCTAGATAAGCGATATTAAAGACAACTGAAGAGTATTTAGATTTTAAAGTATCTGTAACAACTATGCCTCTTTCTTCTGCCAAATTAATCTTCTTTTCTAATTCTTCTTTTTTATCATTTAATAGAGCAAGACGTCTTTTTAGCAAATTTCGTCTAATAAGCAACTCCTCTAATACTTTTGGATAAAGGTCTTTCATTTTGGCTTGGTTTCTATGCTCTATAGACCATGCACATCATGACTATTGAATTTGAAATTAATTTTATGAAGCTTTTTACCACTCCTTTTGAGATTCAGCACGTTCTCAAAATAAAATGATTTTATCAGGTGAGATATTATATGTCATGATAAGTTTGGATACAATAATGCAAAATCTAAGCCAGTCACAGGGTGTTTATTTTCAAGACCTTTTACCAGTGGGAAAATATAGGCCCCAGGATACTTGTCTATTTTCATTTATTCACATGAAATTGTGCTAGTTAAAATCCCTTTTCGTCACACATCGGCACTTAAAAGATTATGCATTTTCATTTCTACTGTAAAATAATGTGAATCATATAATGATATAAAGGCTAAAGATGCTATCTCTCTGTACTCATTAATTGCATTACACTTTACCATTAACTGCTGACAGCTAATAGCATCAATAATACAATATTTGGATACTTCACGTATCTGCTCAGCCGTTATACATTTGTTTCATTTAATGTCCTTTCATAATATTTGTTCATGCAATAAATAGGCATATCTAATTTACTTTAGAGCTCAGATTTGTTTAAGTAAAATGCCAGACTACTCTTTTCAGCTTTAGGATGAAATCCTATAAAATAGAGCCAAACGTCAATAGCTACACATTCCAGAATTTTAAGATGCTTTGAATGAAATTATATATTATTAACCTTTATCACATTATATTGATATTGCCATTTTACAATTTTCTCAATACCCGATGGTTTGATTGACATATAATTAAAATCCATTTAAGAACTTCTAACTTCTTAGCTTTCTTCACAATAAATGGCCAATCATATTGAGAATCGTTAAAGCCTATACATATGGGAGCTTTGCAATAGAAAGGGAGGAAACTCTAAAAAAATTTTTTTTTGAGTTAATGTTAAATCTGGACTTATTTTACAAAAAAATATTATAATTAGCTTAGAAAATAAAATTTTAATTTTTTTAGAGTTTCCTCCCTTTCTATTGCAAAGCTCCCATATAGTATATCTAAGGCTAAAAGTTTCTAGCATAAGGTGAATGCTTTTGATAAATTAACTTGAGACCCATATATAATCGTAATCAACTGTGGGTCTAGCGCAGTTTCAATGTTAATAAGACAGATTTGCTTTAACAGTTCAGGATTGTCTTTCCAATGAACTGTCATACAAATCATGAATATAATATCTTCTTCGTATTTTGCATTAGATATATCACCCATTTTTTATGAGTTATATGTTTTGATATCCATGTGAGAACGAGAGTTAGATCGTGTAAAAGGGCTGAGGATAATAATGGATTATTATAATCATCCTCACTTGTTAGATTGTAATTATTCTCATAAACTTGGAAGAGATAAGTACTTCTTGAATATATTCATGAAAATAATTACTTAATGTTATCCAACTTGAAAGAGGTAATCTTTTTTCACAGGCTACTTTGTGATAATAATACTGGCAATTTAGATCATCTGAAGCTGTATGCATACTAACAGTGTGGACTGCTTTTAATACATTATACTAATCAAAATAGTTTTAAGTGCTAACACAGATATATGGTTTCTTTTCTGTATGATACCCTCAAAGTGAAAAAGCGCTAATATGCTCAATCCTGAATTTTAATATACCTCTGAGGGTATTAGACAGTATATTTACTAATTTGGTTTTAAACATAGATAGTGGCATCTCTTCAGGTACTATAACATCAAAGAAAGGTTTAATGCTTGTAATATTTATGACCGCTTTTTGTCCACTAATTAAAGTACCAGCAATACGCAAAATATAAAAGGAGATGCCTTTTATATATTTGGTATCATCACTAACTTCAGTAAGCATAAAATGTATAGGTTGCTTGCAAGATAGGCTTTGTTGAAATATAGTAATCATCCCATTATAAAATTCTGCCACAATATCATGACGTGATGGACTACTAACTAAAGACTCGACACTGTTGTAACGGGCAAGCATTGGGCCAAATTCAGTACGATCAGTTTGGTCAGAAATAATTGGACATACATGTTATCAGTTTGAAAAGTTATACTAATTCTATAAAATTAGAAATGTTTAAAATAATTTTTTATCCTTGAAAAAAGAGATGTATAGCAAGCTATTAAGAAAATCATAAATGAAAAGGAAACAGATATGTATCTGAAAAGGAAGTTTTCTGCGTAATTATATTATATAAAAATAGCAGAAGACTTATATGTATTCAGGTATAAACCTACCCTAATACTAGTACTTCTATTGACGCATTTATTTTTTCGATAGATGTAAAAGAGATGTATAGCATATTAGTAAAAAAAATCGTAAATAAACATATTTTTAATAGGTGATACTTAGGGTAACCTTTTACATAATCTATTATATAAATATTAGCAGAAGGCTACCCTATCACTAGTATGTACTCAGATGTGATATGAAGGTTTCTGCAGAATTATATTATATAAAAATGGCAGAAGCCTTCATCTGAACTTAGTAAGCAAATCATAGAAGAAAGGCATCTAGTTGTATCTGAAAAATGGCATATATTTTGGTATAGGTATTTGGGGTAGCCTTTTTCATAATCTTTATATAAAATAATGGAAGAAAGCTACCCTATCATTAGTATGTATTCAGATATGGTGAAGACTTCTTTGACGCAAATTCTATACCTCTATATATGCAAAACAGGCGTATAGCAAGATGAAAAAATTGGTAAAGAAAGTATTCTTAAAATCACATGCCTGAAAGATCAGCCAGAGTTATACTATAGAGCTGGTAAAAATTAATCGCAAATTCACTGTGTCACCTGTCACCTCTTTTTTACACCATTTCAGTATTTTAAAAGGCAATCAAATATGCGTAAATTCTCAATATAGAACTAACAACCAAATAAGCACAGAGTGTTAGTATCCTCATCATGGAACCAGGCATCCAAATAAGGATGGAAAGCCAATATTAACAATGTAAAATTTAATATATAAACAAATTAGAAATAAGAAGAAAGTAGTAACCATTAGATCATGACATCACCATTAATTTAAAGCATCATTATCTACCATTAGACTATAAAATCACTACTATATTATACAGGAAATGATTAAAACAATGTAATAAATGCAAATGATCTACCCATAAGTAGATTATGAAGTCATTATCAGATTATGAATAGTAGGTTATGAAGTTACCACCAGATCATGAAATAGATTATGAAATCACTATCATATTATGAAGTTACTGATAGACTATAAAGTTACCATTATATTATGATATTAATAGTAGACTATGAAGTTACTATTATATTATGAAGTTACCAGCAGATTATGAAGTTACCTTCATGACCTAACCCAAGTCACATGCGACTAATATATTTCTGGTTTTTTTAGCCTCATTACGTTTCTCAGTATTAAAAGATATGATATATATAGTTCAAGCTAGTTAGTTTAGTCGAAGGAGAGTATTTCTAAAACTTCATCTACAACTATACCTAATTTTATATAATATTGGAGCTCTTGATAATGAATAACATAGTTCTTTCGTGATCCAAGATGGGAAACTAATTTTTCTGTGGCAGAGAAGTGTCTACCATCTAATTGTTCTACAAGTATAGCATTATAAGGATATAACCAATCCTTTTCTACAGCAACATTTTCTATGGTTGGAGGCAAATCTGATAAATAGTCATGGGTTTTTAAGGGAAAATGGTAATTAATATTTAAGAAATACCCTCATTTAGTATCAAATTGTATATTAAGAATCTTTCAAGATATTTCTTCTGCATAGCTAAATTTTTTAGTAAATATTCCCAATTAGCTTCCCATTAATAATTTCTAATAGACAAGTATTAGCTCATAGAATGACCATAAAGATTTGTTGTATTCACATATGAGATGTATGTAGTTAGCTGAGATAGGTCATATGCTTCTTCCATCTTGGAATTATTAATCTTAAAATATCATTGACAAGTCATAGATAAACTACCTCACTTTGTTTTTTCTATGAAATTATGCATAGCCATATCAGTAAAAAGTTTGATTCTAACTTCTGTTATCTTAAGTTGAGCATCTCAGAATAGTAATAGGACAGAAACATAGTGACTGGAATCAAGCTCATAATATTCCATAAACATTTTTTGAAACTCTGTCCAGATATCTGATAGGCTAAGTACATTGATCTTAAAATAGAGATTATGATACTCACCTAAATTTTGGCATCTGAATTCCTTCCATACATTCTAAGCGTGTTAGTAATCATCTTATGAGATCTTACCTTTAAGAGTACTATAAAATTCATGAATAGGAGGAAGTTTTGTCTTCTGAAACCTATTATAAGAATCGATATAATCATAGAGATAAACTCATTTGCGAAATACTAAGGCTAATTACTTCTCTATATAACCTAATTTTTTGAAATATTGGCTTGTTATTGTGTGGTTATCACCCAAATTTTTTGTAAGACTGACTAAGCTACTATTTATGAACTGCATGATATTGATATATTTAAGCTGACCTACTTTCATAGATGTATATCGCTTAAATGTTTTGGTTATAACTTGGATATGAAGAGCATTAGCTGATCATTTGACAGATTCACATACACTTGTCGAAGAATATCAATTCAGGTATAAATAGGATATCTGAATGATATTCTATTGATTCCTGATATTTTCAAATAGTAATTATTCAGGTTATACCAAATAATGTCAAATTATAACCTATAATCGGGTCCCATTAAGAAATAATTAGGTATGATAGTTTTTGATATCATTCAGTAAATAATTCAGTATACTAAATGATAATTTTTTTTTCATTGATTTATATTATTTATTCCTATTTATAACAGATTATGTAAACTGATATATGAAATAATATTAAAAATAATTACTGATTAATAAATATTTAATTAATTTATTATGCAATTTATGCTGAATTGCTTCTTAAATTATATATGTTTACATTAATAAAACATTTATTTACAGCTAAATCCTATTAATTATCTCTACAAGTTATTACCGATAAGATATCTAAAATAAATAAATTAAAATAAGAAATATAAATATAACCATTAACATACAAATTACTAATTGTTGTTAAAGGAATTTCTTGGATATTTCTCTTGTTCATTGCAGGCTTTGTAGACATATTTCTTCAAATTTTCATCGTATCCAGAAAGTGTCTAAGCAGGGACCCTGAACAGAAGTTCATCAGTTGAATTATATGACTGTTCATGAACTCAGATTCACGTTTTAAAAGATTTAGAAAGTTCTTCAAATGTTTTATCAACATAATCTCGCAAGAATTTACGAACCTGAAAACAATTAGTAAATAATGATTGAAATAACAATAATAACAACAATAATATTATTATTATTATTATAAACTTACTGTTGATGAACACCAATCAAGATCTTTAATGATAATTATCCTTTTACCTTCCAGAAGATCTGGATCAATTTCTCTTTCTTCTAGTGAATGATATCTATTATCATTTATGACTAGGCAAGTTCAGTTTTCGTAAACTTTTTAATCAAAGATTCCTTCTTTTTGTAATTATTCAATTATTTTAGCTTGTTGTAATCTTTTCTGTAATTATATGTGATAGTTAATAATAAATATAATTAAATATTGATTAGTTACTTACTTCTCTGACATGAGTATTTTTGTATCGTCTTCTTAAATGTTTATCTTGATCTTCAATGGCATTTTTTTGTAAGAGATGTGATTCCCTTTAGTATCGGTGACGTTTGTGGATCATATCATAAATAACATTTTCGTTGACTGAGCACGTCCCCTTTTTGTCCTATATATTCATTAGGATATATATTTAAAATCAACTTTATAATTAATAATACCTAACGAAATTACCTTTCTTAAAATAGGAGACAATCAGTAGAAAAGGGAGAAATCTAAATTTTAGTCAAAATTTATATTATTAGACCACTTGGCTAATCTCAATTATATGCATAAATTTGGCTTAATAATAAAATTAACAAAAATTTTGAATTTCACCTTTTCTACTGATTGTCTCCATATAATGAAATTGACAAAAGCAAAATGATGAAACTAGTTTTTTATTAATGATGAAATTATTTTACTTAATTGCTGAAATTATATTTAACTTAATCTAAATTTCTTGAATTAAAATACATTAAAAAATATAATAATTTTATATTTATTTATATAAAAATATTAAAGAGACAAAATTTTTGACGAAATTACAATTTTTCAGTATAAAGTTTAGTCAGGTATTACTATCTATGATATACTAAAATACTTTTCAGTATATTATATTTGAATTCTATTTTAAAATTTACAATTTTATTTATTTACTTCAGATTCTAATAGAATTTTTTCAAATAAAATTTTTATTAATCCATTTATCTCGGAATTTTTAATCATATAATTGCAAAAATCTAGGATTATATAATAAAGATTCTTTATAGAAATAGTTTAAGATATACTGAATTTAAGAATATTAAGTTTTTGCATCTTATTTATTTTATAAAATTTAACCTATTTGACATTTTTATATCTATACTATCTACATTATCAAATAATTTTATATTATTTATTTCTCTATTATATATATTTATATTTTAGTATTAGAGCTAATAATTGATTAAATACTATAATACTATTATTAAATGATTTTAATTGTTGTATATTATAAAAGATTATATTATATTTAAAATGAATACTATCATTTTAAAGATATAATTTATAAAATAAAATAAATTTATAATATAATATCCTGTAAAAATTAGATATAATAATTTTATTTTGAAATTAACATATACTAAAAAACTTTACATAAATCCAGATATAAATAGCAATATAGGTTCATGAATTTGAAAATAAAAAAATAGGTCTTACAATATCTCAATTGAAAACTATATAGGAAACTCTAAAAAAATTTTTTTAAAAATCATATTTAGTATATAAAGTAAATTTTTAATGATTTTAAGCTTTAAAGGAATGTATAAAGTCGAATAGTAAACATAAATTATATAATCTTTTGGGATCACATTATAGAATCTTTTATTCGTTCGCATTGAGCTTTAATCATTATTCAGCATTGGAAAAAATTCTTTTAATCTTTAAATAAAATTAGTGTGGCGCAGTATTCATTTGGTTGACTCATCCTTTTAAAATTTTTTTTTTAACGAGCCTTATATTCGAATTAACATATTTTAATATTATATAATCATAAAAAAAAAAACACGAACCTCATTGATGTTTTTTGTCAATGGCTTTTTGCGGCAATGAAGAGTTGGCACAGCAGCATTCATTGATATACATTTACAATTTTTTTTTTTTTTTATATTCACCTTTATAGAAAATGATGTTTCACGAAATTATGAAACATCCCTGTTACCATATATAAAAGCTCGGGATTCTTTTTATAAAATGACATCTTCTATTTTGCATTTTTATTAAATTATATATATCAAGACAATAATTCTCATTAAATAAATCTTTCCGTTCTACATCTTTTTTTTATAAAAAATATATAAATTCTAGCTAAAATTTAACCTTTTATCACTTTCAACAAACGCATAGTACCAAGTATGGTACAAAAATCATGTTTTTGTTGGAATCCAAAGAAAAAGGGAAAAGGCAGAGAATATATATTACAACCCCCGAGCAACGGGATTTCTTTACAAGTAACTGATGAAAATCTCGTAAAAGATGATGATTCAAATTCAACACATGTTCTTCAGTCATCGATCCCTATAAAAATAACCACTCCTAATAATGAGGTTACCACGCCAAGTTTGGATCCAAAAGATTCTAATTCGAAAATAAAAAAAATCAATGTAAACTCCCTGCACCCTTTCGAGAGCAATAAGAAAGAATTGACAATGCAAGCGACTAAAAAAGTATTTACAATGACATTGGAAGCTGCAGAACCATTCTTTCCTTGGATAAAGGCTGTAAACATGATAATTAATGAAATTGTAAATCTATATGAAAACGTTGAATATAATAAGAAAACTTGTTTGGTACTAGTGGAAAGGGTTGAATTAATTGGTTTATCAGTTAAAACTTTAACTCGTCGAATGGAAGAGAATTGTGAAAAATTTCGGGAAGAAACTTATTTTCATTCATTTATTAAATTACATAAAATATTAAATGTCGTAAAGAGTTTCATAGAAGATGCATCTCAATTAAAAGGTTATAAAAAATTTCTGCACGCTTCAGATGTTAAAGATAGAGCAAATTCTTTATTAACTCGATTAGAAAGTAGTTGTAACGATTTGCAATTTTCTATAATTATATCACAAGAAACAAAAATTAGAGAACAACAATCTTTAAGTGAAGACGTTACTAAAATGATAAAGTTTTTAAAATCGTTAGAAACCGAAGGAGAAAAAACCATTACCGCCGTAAATCGAGTATATGAAGAAGTTTTAGCAATTTATAAAAGAATGTCTGATAGTGCAAATGAAGAAAAGAAATTGCCACCATCAAACCCGCAAATAATATTTAATGCCCCAACGATAAATCCAAAAGATTTAGATGCAGAAGGCATAGAAACTTCGCATGAAAACATTATACGCAGAAGATTACGTAAAGCGATCCCGGTCGCTTGCAAGATTTTAAATGTTGCTGATAACAATTTATCGGAGACAAAAAGGATACAAGCTCAATTAGCGATATTAAATTGTTTACAATCTTCTAATAAAATCATCAAATTTCACGGTAAATCCGTTATTGATGATTATACAGTTCTCGTGTTTGATTGGGCTGAGCATGGAAATTTAAAAAATTTATATGAACAAGGACCATTAAATTGGGTTGATAAATTAAACATCGCTCATGATATTTCCAATGGTCTCGTATTTCTACAAGCATGGTAAGTTTCTTGCTTGTATACATATATATTTTTCACTTGTGTTATCTCTTTTCCTTTCGTTCCTAACCAAAATCATTTGTAATTAACGGAGGGTAGCATGATTTTTCATCATGATCTGAGATGCGAAAATATTCTTGTGAGTTGATAAAATATTCATTCATTTTGCATTTTAAATAAGCATATGTGATATAATTTTTTTCATTTAGATTACGGGAGATGCTCGCTATGAAGCGAAGATTGCCAACTTCCATCTAAGTAGAGAACATCATGATCTGACTATTCAAATAAAAACTTACAGCACCATAATAAGATGGTTGGCTCCTGAAAAAATGCCCAAAGATAACCAACCTAGTAAAGAGAAATACAATTTCAAATGTGAAATCTTTAGCTTTGGTATGTTACTTTGGGAACTTGGCGCCCAAATGTTGCCGTACAAGTCAATGGAAATGAAGGATATCATAGCTCATGTGATGAACAAAAGACGAGAAACTTTTGAAGCCTTCGATCATGATCATCGCAATGATAAATCGCCTATTTTCAGAGGGTTTATGAGAATAATCAAGGGTGGTAAGCAGAAAGATTCGTTTTTTAACGTGATTTTTTTTTAAACATCGAATTAATTTTTCTTAAATTAGCTTGGGCACATGAGCGAGAACAACGACTTACCATAAATGATATATATCAAGAACTCGATGATTTGGTTGGAATTCATTCATGTCGAATACTCCCAAAGAGGTCTTCCAGTGATATGTCACATTCTGACCAAAACAATTCCAAATCGAAAGCTTCTTCAGTTTGCGAATTCGAAGATGAGATGTTTGCGCTTGAACCAATATTGTCACTTGATGAAGCTATAAATACTCACAAACGTGGAGACAAAGAAAAGGCGTGGAAATGCTTTGAGATTCACGCAACAATTGGTGATCCAATAGCGATTTATTGGAAGGCGTATTATTATTCACAAGGTTATGTCGTGGAAAAGAATATCGGTGAAGCCTTTAAACTTTATAAAAAAGCAGCTGATTCCAACGTACCTGAAGCTCAATTTCATTATGCGAATGCTCTATTAAGTATGAAAAAACCAGAGTTTTTAAATTATCTCATTAAAGCTGCTGACAATGGTTATTCTATGGCTCAATATACCTTGGGTAATCTTTATTTAAATGGTCGTGAGGGTATTGAGATAAATAGAGAGAAAGGTTTGCGATATTTGGAATCAGCTGCTTTACAAAATAATTCGGATGCAATTAAAGATCTAAAAAAATTAAATCCTGGTCTACTAGTAACCGATTAAGATTTCATTGTTTTTAGTATAATTGGAACACTTCCTTGTAATTATTATTATTATTATTATTTGTATTATTAAGTAATAATCTTGTTTTTTTTTTTCGTGAAATATTATCAGCTTTTGTAAAGTTAGTTCTTACATATATACAGATTTGATAAATTAAATTAAAATTACAAATGAACCTTTTCAATTATCGGACCATGAAAAATCAACTCTCGAAAAATTTTTAAGCCTCTTTTGTTATGTTGGATATAGTTAAAGCTTGTCATGTCGAATAACTAATTTCACGGAAATTGTGATATCACTATAACAAGCTTGGACTATATTTGACATAATCTCATTTGGCTAATTAATTAAATCCTTTGAAAAGATACATATACTATTACTACTACTTTGATTATTAATGATGATAAATTTATTACTTGTTACAAATTATTATTATTTGTTTTTTTACATCTATATAATTGAGGTTCGTTTAAATAAACCAAAGGTAGATCAGCCATTTGATGGGTAAACAGATAAATCCTTGAATCACCTCATTTTTATATCTTTCAAACAATGTCACGTAATCCTCAGACTCATAATCATCCTCATCATCGTCAGTTGTGATCAAAGATAGTAATGGTCGACCCCTCCAACTTTCAAAGAAAGATTCTAGAGAACTCGGTGAAAATTTTAAATCAAAGAATCTCAATTCACATAAATGCTTTGAGGATCTCAAAAGCGCATTTAAAAATCTTTTTCCGTCCTTTTCCCTTTCCTCATCGACCCTGTATTTATAATTCTCATCCGATAATCTAATCAATAAGCTCTTCAACTGACGACATGATTCGAGCAATTTCACAAAGTATAACAGATTATCCATATCTATGATTACGGACAGAATCTCTACGTTCGGACAATTTTCAATTATGGATTGAATCAGACCACTCGAATAATCACCGATGCTATATTGAATCAAGATTTTACGTAATTTTCCCGTGGTACTCTGAATAATCTTTGAGATGGTGTATGGTGAAATATTTTTTATGTATAGGATTTCAAGGTTCGGGTAGGAAGAAACCTGAAGTTGTTCCTCATAACCATCATTAAGGAAATCATTAAGCAATTGTAGTATCTTCAGGTTTCTGAACAAAGGGAAAATTTTTGGCGGAAGGAAGATTTCTCGTTTAAATCGGGATTCTAAATTGATCAAAGTTTGGGCAGAAGATGTTAACGCGAGGCCTAATTCTTCGGAAGGGTCGTTATTATTATCAAAAGATTTCGAGCAAATGAAACGCTTTAAATTTTGTTGAACGTGAATTAACTTGATGAATCCATAATTCTCATCATCTATGTTATCGAAGTATACGTAAATCTTTTTGATACGCTTGCAAATTTGTGACAAACCGAAAAAGATTTCCGAAGGGATGGAAGAATTCGTATTCAACTCGACGAGATCCGTTAAACACCTAAACGCTCCTGGAAAATGATGGATTTGATGTTTAATGTGATCCAATTCCAAACTCTTTATTGAACATCGACTCATAAGTAGTTTATAAATTTCTTCCTCCAAAATGAATTGATGATATTTCTTATCAGTGCTATAAGAGATCCCATCGCAAATCATGCTTGATATCGCGGTTGCCTCCAAGTGTTTGATGAAAAGCAAATAGTTAAACACATTATGTCGCGAAGGTAAAGATATGTAAATTCCTTGACTCTTGAGGAATTCTCTCGATTCATGAGGTAAGAATGAAATGATGGTGTTAAATAAAAATGTTTTATTCAGGCAATATTCCCAAGGATTTTTCCATAAAATCTGAACTGCCGTGGAACACCAACTTTTATTGACCAATACACAACAATATAAGGAATTATTATCATCCTCCAACTCTTCAAAGATATAAAATAAAATATCGTTATTAAGGGTCAACATTTTTTTTGATTTTTTTTATTTTATTTATCATATAAAAATTAGAGTTGTATAAAGAAAAAAAAAATATTTTTTTTTTTCGATTGAAATGAAATGAAACAAAATTGAATCTTACCTACCATTTGTCGAAAGTTTATTCTATAAAGGATCTAACACGTTACATTTGCAAATATGACTAGTGATCTCCATGTAAATCATATGACATTTATGCCAATACGCTTGATTCCATCACATGATAAAGATTCGAATACGCGAATTTTTTTATATATTAATTTTGATACCAAATTAAATTGGTGAATTACGTTTCATTTGATTTATTATCATAATTAAACATAAAAGAGTAAAATACGAACGGTAAATGGGAGAATGGAAAAGCATAACCACATTATCCCTTAGATCATTTCTTTTTACATCATTATTTTATGCAAGCAAAGAATGTATAACTAGTAAGGTAAGGTGACAATTTGCATTGTTTTAACTTTAAAAAAAGTATTTATTTTGATTTGGTTTTATGTTTCATTCCCGTAGAGCAAGCATTACACTATAAACACAAATGTCGTTCTTTTTTCTTATCTTTTTGTTTTAAAACAAAAAAGGGACAATAGAAATTGTTAAGTTTTAAACAATATATGTTTATATTTTTTTATATTTTTTTTATTTTTATTTTTTTTAAAAAAAGAGTTTAGATTTTTTTTTTTTTATTCTTTCAAATGTTTCGATTAAAAACTTGAAGTTTCTCAGATATCCCTTGTATGAGAATTACAAAAAAGAAAAATTAATTTTCGAAGATCTTTATTTCTTTTTCTCATTTGATTATATGCTATGCAATTCGACAATGCTAAATGAATATCAATTTGATGTTGAAAGGGTTTCACCCTGAATTCCTGATTTTATTGAAAAAATTTTTTTTATTTTTGGAAATTCTTTTGCCATAACAATATTATAAATATATGAGTTATATCGTTGGGTATTTGGCTATTTTGCTATTAATAAATACTAGGTTTGATTATAGGCAATTCCTTTGTATACCTCATAATCATCTGTCAGCATATTACTCATAAATACTATATTAGTTTTATTATTATTTTATTTTTATTTTTCCTCATAATTTCTTTAAAAAATTTTTTAGTGTTTGTTTTAAATCATCAACATGTGAATGATGTGTTCTTGCATACTTAAAAAAAAAATTATTAATTTTTTTTTCTTTAATCAAACAAAAAGGATCAAAAAAAGTGATCATTATCAATTCGAACAGAATTTTGGTGTGGCGTTTGGTGGCGTAGGAGAGATTCAATAAATATTCTTTTGATGGCCCTTGATTTTTATTTTTATCATTATCAAGAAAGTTACAAAATCAAAACACGACAGATCACTATACCTTGAACACAGATGCCCCTCAAAAACATTAAATAATTTTATTATTCTAATACGGTTTAATGCTAAATAAATAAGGTTTCAATAACCGACTTTTTTTCGTTACACGTACAAGATGCAGCAACAAACGATTCAATTAAATTACAAATGTCTATCCATGTTAAAAATAAAAAAAGGTGGTTTAATTCTAATTCATTTTTAACCAAATATTTATTTTATCTTTTTTTTTTTTTTGTTATAAATAATTTTTTCAATAATTTAATATAAAAATGTAATTAGTATTATTATAATAAATCAAAATCAATCCTAACAAAGTTATAAACTATGTACAAAAAAATAGAATTTATTTTTATTTTATTATTTATTTATTTATTTTTTGAAACGTTGAATCTTGTTTTCCTCAAATCGAAGTCTGACCCGGTCGAATCCGAATTTCGGGTCTCGGATCTCGAACCTCGAGTGCAACCGAGCTTTTTAAATATTATTCTACCACAATATACTTTAACTCAATCAAAGAAATTTTCAAAAAAAATCAACCATCCATTATATATATACATATAGTCCAGATAGATATATATACATATATACACATATATATACATAAAATCGGTGAAAATTTTCTTTCCTTGATTTTCTAATTACGCGCAAAGTATATTACATGTCGAAGAGCTTCTACACGGCCAAAGTCATATGAGAAGATACATTATCTTCAACAGAAGAAATAAAGTTTTTTAAGGAAGCAAACCTCTTCCAGAATACCGAAATTGTTCTTTAAGAACGAATAAAGGAACATCATCTTCATCACCATAATCATCATCATCATCATCATCATCCGATTTTGCGATAATGTCCGATAGATAAGGTCCCTTTGTTAACGAGGAGTATTTTTGTTGTTCATCTTGATCGGTTAACGTGGTTAAAGAAGACTGAGAAGAATTTGTCGATGACGAGGAGGAGGAAGTTGAACGTACAAGAGTATTTGATAAACTATTTAATCTCTTTCTTCTTCTCGCCATGGGTAATTCTTTTACCACCAATTGATTTAGTTCATCATTAAATACCGTCACAACTTTAGAAGAAGCATAAGAAGGACGATATTTCATTGAAATAGGGGATTTATGAACTCCAGCCAATATCGCCGATAATCTTTTATTTGTGCATGAAGTTGATTTGATTGGTAGTGAAGAAGGGGAACCTTTATAATTATTATTGTTATTTTGTTTAATATTTAATTCATAAACTCTAACTTTATAATGAATTAATTCTTTATGTATTTTATCAGATACTGGTGAAGAAAGGTTTGCTAAAATTTTATTTAAGGAAAGGGCTTGATACATTGGACGTTTTCCAACACGTAATTTTCTTATGGAGCGAAGGTAGACGTAATGCTCAGCCGAACCTTTAACGATGTTCGTATTCTCCAGGTAATCAACTCTGGATATTGTGACATCATTAGAATCATTGTTAGGAAAAGTTTGTTGGCGAGGTGATTTATTTGATATGCCTGCGGGCACTTCGTACATATCTGAAAGAGCGGATTTTAAACCGGGTATTATCATTTCATCTTTATCCAACAATTCTTCTTGGTCAACCCAAGAATTGTCATCGGCACATTCCATTTCGTTAATTAAAATTTTCTCATTTTTATCATGAAACGTGATAAGTTTGTTAGATTTTTGACGAATGGAATTCCGTGATTTTGGTAAAGGGGAATTTGTTGAGGAGAATACTTTATTAGTAGAAACGGATCTTTTAATCGAACTTCTAACTTTTGTTGATCGATAGAGATTATGATTTGGGTTTGGTGGTTTACGTAATATGGCCACTTTCACCCATTTTGTGAAATTTGATATTCCCATGACCTTTGGAGAAGAGGTGGTATTAACAGTGCCGTAATTTGTTGTATTTATGGTAGACATCAAAGTAGAATCGTGTTCGTTTATATATAACTATACAAAGCGAAGGGTGAAATCTTTTTTTTTGGGACAAAGAATTCAAGTGATATATAAAGATTTTAAATGAGCGAGAATGGCGCAGTAAAAAAAGATATGTGTTGTTCGAAAGCAAAAGAATGGTAGTAAACTTCTATATCAGGTAAGAGGTTGGTAAATGGGTGACTAGGCTATATATTAAAATAACAAAATGTAAAAAATAAGGTTGGAAAAACAAGGTGCAGATTGTTATTTTTTTTTTTTTTTTTTGAAGTGAACAAATATCTATATCTATATATATATAAAAGTATTTATAGATTATGATATGAAATGTCGTAGCAGAGGAAAACAAAAAGAAATTTTGTCTTAAAAAAAGGAAAAAGAGAGGAGATGATGTTCGTTTTATAACAAAAATTTTCAACGTTTGATAAGGAGATTATGTATGACACAAAATAAAACCTTACCTTGTTTAAGGAAATCAAACAATTTATTATGGTTATTTAAAAAACAGTTTGTGAAAAAAAAGAAAAAAGAATCCGTCGATATGGCGAGATTGTGATATGATATTTTTATTTTTTTTAAAAAAAATAATAAATGTATATTAAATTTGCAACGTGATGCGAAAAAAAAATAAAAATATATTGGAGGGAAAAAATAATACAAAATCGTTGAGGGGTAAGATATATTTATCTGTAAAGATGTCCTGCTTTTGTAGAGGAGATTACTTTTAGTATTTTTGTTAATGTTGATGAAAATGTATTTTTATTTCTTTTCGAAAAAAAGAAAATAAAAAAATAAAGAATAAAAAAATAAAATAGAATTTAATAAAAAAAAAATAAAAAAATTATTTTTTGTGTGTTTGGGCGTGTTTTAAAAAAAAAAGTATATGAATATAAAAAGATTTCCAAGAAATTGTTCAGGTTTTAAAGTTGGTTTTTTTTTTTTTCCTCGAAAAACGTACTGTTATTTATTAAAAAGTATTTATTTTATCCACATAAATTATTCACGTTTCGAGGCGTAGTTAAAAAATCCTTTATTTATATTGGTAATGTAAACGAACAAATTAATCATGGAGATTGGATGAATAAGGTTATCATCTGCAAAAAATGTAATTAACTTATGTATTTAATCCCGTTACTCGCTTACGTTGATAAATAATAATTTTTTGGGATTTTTTTTTTTAGTTTCAGCCACCCCTTTCAAACTTAAACGCATAAACTGGCAGTAGTATTGAAAATTGCCAAATATAGCAGGTCTATATTGGCGAGAGATTATCACTTTCTCGATAACATCACCCAATTCATCGTCAAGCCACAAAAAAAATAAAAACAATGTGGAGAACCCTTGATCCTTGATTTGTCATTGTTACTTTAGCCAATATAAATAAATAACGGCCGAATTTCAAATCTGATCATCATCATCATGTCTTTTCTTGTCATTTCAAATGACAAAAAAAGATCTGAAAAATTAAAACTTTAAAAACCTGTTTCTTTTTTTTTATTTCCTTTTTCGCAAGTAAATAAACATCGCCTCAATATAATGTCTTTCAAGTAAAAGAAGAGAAAATAAAAGATATATTCCGTAGATTTTTGCCATGTCCAGCTCAAAATCCGAAACATTTTCAACTAAAAGTAAGGCGCATTGCCTAAATAATTCAACAAGTGTCCTTTTTTCGTAACGAAAAAAAAAAACGATAAGACCATTATTTGATTGTTATCAAAGATCCAATTCACATGTCCATGAATGCGTAAGAAATTCCTGGCATAATTTTTTTGATAACAGGTATCCAAACAGGAACTGTCCTAAAGGGAACCAAAATTCCCAAAGAACGTCGCATCACCTCATAAAGAAGTTAATTGAAGTAATTTTATCCAGCATAATTCATTGCCTATTAAGGCATTTAACGTAAATTCAAATCTTTGACAGATCCAAATTGGTGAGCTTTGAAACGGGATCTAACCAATGATATTAAAAGATAATCCTTGCAAATAACAATGGTTTAAGTATTCGAGTTATAAATTGGTGTAACGTAGTTAATTAATTTATCAATTTTCGCGTTTGATCATGGTTACTTTCAAACATTCTTTTTAATTTTTTTTAAATTATTATTTGGATATTTATAAATTGAAGTGCCCAATTTCATGAAACAACTCAAATTATCTTTCCTGTCTTTCCTGTGAAATTGATAATAATATATACTCTGTATATCTTTTTTTTTTTCGAAAAAAGAGTCAAAATTAAAGTAATGAAAAGTCAACACTTTATAAATTATGCTTTTAATTCGATTCGGATGCGTTCACCTTCATTCCTCTTGCCCTCTCGCAACGATCTTTCAATGCCACACGCTTTTGCAACTTTGTCAAACGAGTTAATCTCAAAAAAATCACGTGGTGGCTTAGCAAAGATGATCCTAACGCCTCTTTCATCAAAAATCTGAAATCTGAACTCAAATGATAACTTAAAAATAAGTAATCTCTCGATAACAACAAAGAAACAATGATTTGATGAACCTTTTAGTCAATGAAAGGAGATGAAAATTTTGTTTTAATAATCGCAAAACATTATTTGCAATAAATTATGTTCAACGTAACGCGCACCTTTCAAATTTGGTTTACACATGCACAAGGTCACATCATTTTACAATATTTTCCTAGTGTATTTTACGAAATCAATTTCCCGCGGACAATGCCTTACGAGTTATTATTATCGCTGCGTGGAAAAAACGTTCCTTTCTATACCAAATTTGTAATTTTCAATTATTATCTAAAAAGAGAATAAAGAATGTAAAATGATAGATGCAGATGCTATATTTTTATTATTATTACTGTATATTATTAAATCGAGAAAGTAAAATGAACCCTTAAAACGGAATCATTGAATACTTTTGTACTTTTGTTGATTATGTATAGTTACGCAATGAAAAAGTACTCCGTTATTCGGGCGTTTTTTGTTATTCCTTCCATCAGTTGTGACTTTTTGTTTTAGTAAATGTATAAAAGGAAGATCCATGTACATGAATAACGTTAAAAGGCTTCATGAATCGAATTCCTAAACCGATTTTTGGACCTTAAAAATATTTGCAAATTCTCATAGGTAAGCAAGCATTCAGTTTCGACATACAAAGAAAAGAGGTTTCTTTTTTTGTGTACCCTTAAAGATATAAAGAAAATATTTTTTTTATTTGAAAGGAAAAAAAAATTTTTAAACTAAAAAAAATATTTCAACAGTTTGATTCACTCGCATAATTTAAGTTGTTCCATGTCGATTTACACGATAAAGTTCTATGATGCATATTTTTTTATCTTATTCGGATCTATACACATTCAACCCTCCCCTCCCCCCCTTGGCGTAAAATTTTAATTTTCGCTTATAATCTTCTAATCAAAATCAATTTTTTTTAAAACAATGACATTTTGAAATATGACCGAATTAACACTAGGATAGTTATGGAAGGTTTCTAGAAAAAAAAAACTCGCCTCATTTTTTAAACCACTAGAATGAAATAACAGCGCACCTTTTTATGCTGTATTATCTCATTTGAGAAACGTTGGATTGATTATATTGCATATCGACAAAATATAATGGCATGCCATTTATTATAACATCCAACAATACACCCTGATATAATCTATCCGAAACCTGTCTTCTCCTTTTTCCGGTTGTACTTTGTTGTGAAAAAAAAATTGGATTGAAAATTTAATTGGAAAGTGAATTTGTTCTTTTTTTTCTTCAATTCCAAGGAATCTCATTCAGGATTGGTAGGATCAAATGATAATGGAGATAATGTGCTGTGCGTGACATTATTAGCATGATTATATATGTATGTGCTACCATACGCTTTCATTTTTTCTCGGTCGTACCAATGACATTTGCATCCCCGTCGTCGAAAACTAACCCATTATTCATGTCAAATTCTTTGTAATTTTTAATGTGCTTCGTTTTTGTTGAAATTAAATAATTTTTTTTTAATAAAACAGACAAATCATTTTATTGTTTAATTGTAATATTCTATTAAAACTTAAGGATTAATATTGTTTGTTTGTGAATTTTTTATTTATTTTTATTTTATATTTTTGTGAAAAGATATTGTTTGAAGGATTTGGTAATTTAAAAAAGGGATAAAAAAAACTTTAACGGCAAATCTATTGGAGTTTAGCTAATTATATCGAATAATTTGATCTTTTTTTTTTTTTTTTTTTTTTTTTATTAACCACTATATGCATATTGAAATGATTACTTTTGGATTTTTTTTTTTTCGTTATGTGTAAAAAATGCAATTAAAAAAAAAATAAAGGATTTCGAAATGATTGATTAAGAAATAGCGTAAACCATTTTTTTTCATTTTTTTGATCATTTTCGAGTTTCATTTATATTTATTTTTCATATTTATTCCCAACTGCGGCGTCCTCCAACTTCGTGATGTAATGATACTATGCATTATGACAATGGAGATTATTTTTAGAAAAAATCAACCATAAATAAATTTCATACTGTGAATTTTATTTCTATTTTTATCGTGTTTAATTTCTTTTTTTTAGCTGTATCGGTTACGATTGGACAATCACTTTTTTTTTTATTTCTCTCTTTGAAAAATTTTTTTTTTTTGATTTTCTATATACATTGAATGGTTTCTTCATCACTAGCAATTAAATGGGGATTCTAAAATTATCTTAAGGTTGTATCAAATATATATATATATTTATTAAAATAAATCTTTCTAGAACCCTATCCCCCCCTTTTTTTTGAATGATACATTGTGACTATGAAAAATGTATTTTAAAGTATTTGTTTGTTCTATGAATACTTCTGCATGATAATGATTACCCGTACAAGGAAATCTCAATGAGAAAAAAATCATACGTTTAATCTTATTTTGCGATAGGCTTTTTGATGGATTTATTATCAGTACGTGAATGCTCATCGACATTTATTCTTCAATTATAAATGCTACAGTTAAAATCATATATAAAGAAACCCAACTTTTCGAA